TGATAATGACTTTTAAATCTGTAATAGAATGACCAGAGAGATTGAAGTGTTCACTTACTGGCTTATGTATGTTACCATTCCTGATGTCCGATTTGTGTCCATTTATTCTTTTGAGGAGGGACTGTTCGGTTTGGCCAATGTACATGGCAGAGGGGCATTGCTGGCACATGATGGCATACATAACATTAGTAGATGTGCAGGTGAATGAGCCCTTGATGGTGTGGCTGATGTGGTTGGGTCCTCTGATGGTGTCGCCAGAGTAGATACGGGGACAGAGTAGGCAATGAGGTTTGCTACAGGGATTGGTTCGTGGGTTGGTGTTTCTGTGGTGTGGTGTGTAGTTGCTGGTGAGTATTTGCTTCAGGTTGGGGGGTTGTCTGTAAGCGAGGACTGGCCTGGCTCCCAAGGTCTGGTTAAAGAGAGGAGCAGCTACAGTTTATAATTTTTCAGTGTATTGATTACCAGTTCTCTCTCTCTCTCTCTCTCTCCTCACACACACACACACACTCACCACATTAATCTAATCTCTAGCTGTGCAACAACCTAACTCTCAAATAACATTCCTGAAGGTAATGTGCTATGAATCTGTTACCAGCATGAATTAAAAGTGCATTGCAATTCTACTGTGAGGGATTTGCAGCTAATAAGCTACACTAGTGTAATGTTTATGCACTAGTTACCTATCTTTTTACAGTAAGTTCAATGCTATTGGAATTGCAATATAAATATTAGTCACAATCTTTACATTAATACACTGATGGCTGGTGATTTAAGGTACTTCACAGAGTAAAATGTAAACAGAACAAGAAAAATGCCAGTGTTGAACGTTAGATAAATGTTAGAGACCTGCCAGTTACAATCTAATTAGTATCACTTAATGGCAAGTGTTACCTAGACACTGAGTTCCAAACTCATCCTGGAGAATATTCATTAATTACTCACAAGATCTTCCATGTGAGTAGCTAATAGGCTGATAGAAGAGAACCTAAAATCATGCTGTGAAAGTGCATGTTCTAGCAAGCTACTGAATCAGCCCTCAGACCCTGAG